TTAACCTTATAGATCAGTCTTGACAGCCTTTATTTCACTCCTGATCAAAAATGTCAGTATTTCTCTATCTATGTAATAAAATCCAAATTTCTTAGCCTGGCCCTTAAGATTCCAGGCATAGAGACAGCTTCAGTCTACGACCTTGAATAATACAGTTGCTAGGGGTGCTGATCCCTGTGCATTTGAAAATGTATGTGTAACTTTTAACTCCTCCAGAACTTAACTACTGACAGCCTGCTGTTGACCAGAAGACTGACTGATAACATAGACATCGATTAACACATATTGGGAATGTGATCTGGTTCTTTCTTATTTACAAACTCCAGACAAAGAGAAAGTTGCCTCTGAAGTAATGCATTACAGCTGGGAGAAACAGCACTGTGGCTTTATTCTTAAAATAAAGTAAGCTAGAGGAAAGAAAATGTCATTAAGAAAGCCATAAGGAAAAGAAAATATATTTACTGTTCATTAAGTAGAAATGGATCATCATAAAGGTCTCCATCCTCATCGTCCTCTTCACACTGAGTAGGCTGAGGAGAAAGAAGAAAAAAAGGAGTTGGCATTGATGTCTCAGGGTGGCAGAGGCAGAAGAGAATCAAAATTTTAACAGGATCTGCACAGTTAAAGCTCATTTTCAAAGGTCAACTATACTTTGCTTTATATATCTAGTTTGAAGCAGTATCAAACATTAGCTTGTATTGGTTTAAACTCTACACTTCTTTACTTAATCTTAGAGGACTTTTCTGAAAGTGGTTTTGTGTCTGGAATGGTTCTCCTCTCCCCTCTGAGTATAAAACTCCATTTATCCTTCAAGGACCAAATCAAATGCAGACTCTTCCCTGTATCACATGACATTTCCCTTCTCTAGCCTTCTTAAAATTCCACTTTACTCCCTATCTTCTAGATAGTCCTGTACCCAATAAGAAAGAACCATGCCCAATTTATCCTTGTAACGCAGTGCATAATACCTCACCTCACTCATTATCTTGCCCCTTGTAGGTATCCAGTGTCTGCTAACTAAATGCATTCATACATTCATGAATAAATAAACAGAGCTCTTATAATGTTGTAGTCATGTTAAGGGCCAGAATCCTTCACTAAACGATAATCTCCTTGAGGTTTAGGGTTGATATTATATTTTTTTATCCTCAATACTTAGCACCATTCTGGGAGCATTATAAACTAAGTACACACTACAATAAAATATTGGTAAATGAAATTGAATTAGTGGCTTCACACCTAAGTCCTTCTCACTGTGTCAATCCCAAGTGCTCTGGAGAGTGAACAGGGTCTCTGAAATAGCAAATAGTTGTTCATATCCTGAAGTGAATAAAATGCTGACTCTTAGAACTGGATAGCAAGTCTCTTAACAGAGACCCATTTATTTATTTATTCTTTCATTCATCAAGGCACACCATGAATTGTGATTGATCTACATTCAATAACTATTATAGAAACTAAGGAAAAAACAATCTGTGGCAATAAAGAGGTGAAAGATAGGCTTGGCTTCTTGCCGGGATTTAAATGCCCTGTTTTTTAAGGAAACAAAATGCATGCCTATGTTGCATGTTCCATCTAGGATTTTCCAAGAGAAATTCTTCTAAGGACTGTCAAGTCACAGTAGAATTGAAAATATTCCCTACCAGTATTAGACCTGAAAGGAAACAAGATTTGCCAAGCATGGTGAGCCTTCTAGAAAGCAGACAGCTCATGTTTATAAAGTAATCTCTCCTTTTTCTCCTGTTTGCCCAGGCTGTGACAACATGCTGATGGGCATAAAGTCTCTGAAAATAGTGAAGAAGATGATGGACACACACGGCTCTTGGATGAAAGATGCTGTCAATAACTCTCCAAAGGTGTACTTGTTAATTGGATCCAGAAACAACACTGTTTGGGAATTTGCAAACATACGGGCATTCACGGAGGATAACACCAAGCCAGCTCCTCGGAAGCTAATCCTAACACTTTCCTGGCAGGGAACAGGCCAAGTGATATATAAAGGTTTTCTATTTTTTCACAATCAAGCAACTTCTAATGAGATAATCAAATATAACCTGCAGAAGAGGACTGTGGAAGATCGAATGCTGCTCCCAGGAGGGGTAGGCCGAGCACTGGTTTACCAGCACTCCCCCTCAACTTACATTGACCTGGCTGTGGATGAACATGGGCTCTGGGCCATCCACTCTGGGCCAGGCACTCATAGCCATTTGGTTCTCACAAAGATTGAGCCGGGCACACTGGGAGTGGAACATTCATGGGACACCCCATGCAGAAGCCAGGATGCTGAAGCCTCATTCCTCTTGTGTGGGGTTCTCTATGTGGTCTACAGTTCTGGAGGCCAGGGCCCTCATCGCATCACTTGTGTCTATGATCCACTGGGCACTATCAGTGAGGACGACTTGCCCAACTTGTTCTTCCCCAAGAGACCGAAAAGTCACTCCATGATCCATTACAACCCCAGAGATAAGCAGCTCTATGCCTGGAATGAAGGAAACCAGATCATTTATAAACTCCAGACTAAAAGAAAGCTGCATCTGAAGTAATGTATGACAGCTGGGAGAAAGAGCACTGTGTCTTCGGCAGCTGTTCTACAGGACATTGAGGCTACAGCCCTTCACAATATAGTATCCCTAAAATCACACACAGGAAGAGTGTGTAGAAATGGAAACACATATGCGTCCTTTTCCAGATGTCACCGCCTTAGGTATCTTCCAAGAGCTTAGATGAAAGCACGTCATTAGGAAAGTTTCAACAATGTCCATTACTCACCCAAAGCTTCTGGCTCTCAAGGCTGACCACATTCTGATACAGCTTACTTCAAGCCTTCTCTTTTACTGCTCCCCAGCATTTTGTAACTCTGCTTTCTTCCCTGCCACAATTAGAGTTGTGTGCCAGTCCCTAATACCACTGGCTTTTCTCTCCCTGGGCCTTTGCTGAACTCTTCCCTCTTTTTCAAATGTCTATTGACATTCTCCCATTTTCACTGGCCAACTAAAGTACTATTAATATTTCTTCTGTTTTGCTTTTGAGACAAGATCTCACTATGTTGCCCAGGCTGCTCTCAGACTCCTGAGCTCAAGAGATCCTCTTGCCTCAGCCTCCCAAGTACCTGGGATTATAGGCATGTGCCACCACACCTGGCTTAAAGTACTATTTCTTATTGAGGTTTAATCTCTATTTCCCCTAGCCCTGTCCTTCCACTAATCAAGGTGGGCATAACAATAAAGTAAAAATATTAACATTTGAATGTCACTTTCCAGGTGAAGAGTGTTTGCACATCATTTAATTCTCATTTCACCCTTGTGAAACAGGCACAAGTCTTTACAGCTGTCATTCTAGAGTTTAGGTGAGTGACACAATTACAAAGTGAAAGATAGAGCTGGAAAATACTACAAATCCCTTAGTCTTTGCCCAAGGAAGCATCAAATATGTATGTTTGTTCACCTGTCTTTTATAGTCAATGTGTTCACCATTTCAGCCTAAAAATAATAGTCCGTCCCTTTAGCCAGTTTTCATGTCTACACAAGCTCTTTCAATAGGCTTTCAGACAATAATTCCTCCAGAAAACCAGTCTAAGGGTGAGAACACCAACTCTAGCCTCCTCTTGTCTTGCTGTCCTCTTTCTTTTTGCTTTAAATTCAATAAAAGTCACACTGAGCAAATCACCTCATCAGGTTATATTTGCCCACATACCCTAGGCATAAAAGCTTTCTGGGAGTGTTGCTTGTATTAGGTTTACTGTGAATGATTCCCAGCACACTGAGGCCCTTGGTAAATATTCTGGAATCTGGACAGAAGCCATACAACAGGCAAGTGGCTCTGCCATAGCAGGCATGTCCTGTGGCACAGAGGGCAGCGTGCCTCTTGACAGGAGCTTCCTCAGTGTTTCTCACGTGTTTGTCCAATTCAGCTAAGTTCAAATCACAAGTGCAGGCTCTGGTGCCAGTCTGTGTCACGTGCTGAAGCCTCTGTCTTTCCAGGATGATCACATGAGAAGGTTTGCTTTGTGTGCTTGCAGCTGTTTTCCTGTCTTTGCCAAGCCCAGGCTGGGACCACAGGCAGTGAAGAGAAAATGTTTTTTGCCATAGCATTTGAGTAGATCTTCGGCAGAGGAGAATTACTAAACCCATGGATACAGTGTAATTACCCACAGTTCTAACAGAATGGTACGGAAAGCCCAAATCCTTTGTGGAATGAGACAGGTATGAATAAATAAATGTGGTATTACCTGCCTATTACCTACCTGTTTCACAGATATAAGGAATGTGGGCTGCCTCACAGAAGATAGTGAGGTGGATTTATCAACAGGAGTGAGTCCTGCAACCATAGCTGCAGGACTTTGGAGGCACAGAGGGGAGGTTGCCTGAAAGGTGCTATCAGGATTCCACCTGGCACAAATTTGATTGACAGCTCCTCGGGGCAGAGTTGTCCCTAACAACTCACCCTGGTACCTACCTTAAATCCCTGCAGATAGAATCACTCTTTCAGATCAAGACATTTTCTCCAGGAAGCCTGTTAATGTACCACTTTTCTTCTTGGGAGCCAGGGCAGGACAGTATGCAGGCTTGGGAACGGAGCTTCTTTCAGGTAAACTTTTCAGCTCTGGGGTCTTGTTGGATTTAAGTGAAGACTGACATCAACATGACCTACATCAGTGGTTCTTAAACTTTGTTGCACATAAGAATCACCCGGGGAGTTTTAAGAGTCCTCATGCTCCAGCCATACCCTCAAGGCCATTAAATCAGAACCTCTGGGGATGGATCAAGACATCAGTATTTTTGTTTGTTTGTTTCTTGAGATGGAGTCTCACTCTGTCACCCAGGCTTGAGTACAGTGGCACAATCTCGGCTCACTGCAACCTCCACCTCCCAGGTTCAAGCGATTCTCTGGCCTCAGCTTCTCAAGTAGCTGAGATTACAGGCACCCACCACACCACCTGGCTAAGTTTTGTATTTTTAGTAGAGACAGCATTTTGCCATGTTGGCCAGGCTGGTCTCGAACTCCTGACCTCAGTTGATCCACCTGTCTCGGCCTCCCAAAGTGCTGGGATTACAGGCATGAGCCACCTTGCCCAGCCAAGACATCAGTACTTTTTAAGTCCCTTCCCCCAAGGTGGTTCCTAAGTGCAAAGCAGCTCCACAGCTGGTGACTTACAACATTTAAAAAGGTAATTGTTGGGCAGCCCCCTGGCACCAAGCAGCCTGAAAGTGCCCCAGCCCAGAAGCTAAAAAGGTAATTGTATTGTTTTAAGAACAGACTAGCAGTTTCTAGAGGCTGGGGTAAGGAGAGTGGGTCCACTAGGGCAATAAAGTGTGGGATTTGGAAACAGCCATGAACTCGTGTGAACTGTGGCAGCCTCGGTCTACAAAAGCCTCTCTGGGCTATTTTAAGGAAGTGAAAGAGAACTGAAGGGTGTCCTGTTGTAACACAACTCTTCTGGGCCCCAGCCCTCCCCCGCTGGCTGTGCTTTGGTCTGCTGCTGGCTAGGTTCCCGCAGTGACCACACGTCTCATATGTGCCAGGGTGGCTTAGGTTCTGTTCACGTGTAAAAGTCTCCTGGGCCCACTCGTCATTTCAGACCTCGAGGGTAAATATGGTTTGAAAAAGTTGTATCCTGTGGAGTATGTTGACTCTCTACCCTGTAGAGAACTAAAGGCCAGGGCTGTGGTGACTCCTGCCAGAGCTGGGGACACTATGCCAGAGTCCCTGGTGTCGCTGCCATCTGAGGCCTACAGGGATTTTAAACAGCTTAACAGAGAAGCCAGTCCTTGGAGGCCCAGGCAGGGCCACAACCAAGCAGTACAACCAAAACAGATTCAGGCCACACACTGGAGGTAGGGGTTGGACCAGGTCTCCAGGGTTCAGTCCTCCCCAGTTCGAGAACCCATTCCTGAGGTCAGACATTGCCAACGCTTTTCTTGGACCTCAGGTCTCAGCCCTTGGTGCTGGGCACAGGAAAAAGCTTCTTGACCTCGGCTCTTCACAAGACAGAACTTTTGTTTGGTGCCAACAACTAGAGGGACATCCGCCCCAGGTCGCGAATGGAGCGCGGCGGGACCTGGGGTGACTCAAGGCTTTCCGACCTGCTTAGGGAGGGTGGCTCAGAGACCATCTCGATTTTGCTGGGATCGCACGCGGGCTGAGGAAGTCGGGATGCTCCGAAGGCTTGCTGCTCTGGGTGTGCCTCTAATAGGGTTTTCTATGCTTTCTTCGCACACAAGTTTCCTTCTTCCTCGCTTTCATTCCCTGCGACCGGGGAACGGCGCTGAAAAGCCAGAGAAGTCCAGAAGACTGGGAGCCGGAGCGCTGGGGACCGAGCCGTGCCTCCGGGCCACCGGAGCTGTGCTGTAGGAGGAGGCGCAGAGAGAGGGGCGGGGCGGGGCGGGACGGAGCGGAGCGGGCTGCCGCGAGGGGGCGCGGTCCGCCGAGAGAGGCGGGGCTGGAGCCGGGACGCGCGGCCCAGGGGTGGGGATGAGGCAGGTTCGAAGGGGCGGGGCTGAGCAGGCCGGTCCCCCGCCCGGGAACAGGAACCCCGGCGGACTGGGCCCGGCGGGCCGCCTCGGTGCCCGAAAGGGAGCGGGTGCCCGAGGGGTGGCCCCCGTGGCAGGTCCAGGGGTGGGGGCGCGGCGCTCCGGGAGGAGCCTCCCGCGGGTCCCGCCCCGTCACGTGGGCGCCGGCTCCGGCCGCTGCGGTCGGTCCGCTGGTTGGTCGGCTGGTTGGCCGTGCGCTAGGTCCCGCAGTTGGTCGGTGGGCCTGTCGGGGGGCCAGTGGCCTGTTGCTCGCTGCCGGGCTCTCATGTTTGAAGGTGGGAGGGACACGGGAGCGGCCCGCACACCTGAGCCGCCTGGAGAGGAGCCGCGGCCCGGCACCCAGGTCAGTGGGCTGTCCCCACACCCCGGGCTCGCCTAGCGGTCGGGTTTGGGATCCCCGCTGGGGGCATTGCCTGGGGAATAGAGACCCCAGAGCCACGAACCACGAGTCAGTGTCTCCGTGAACCACGGAGCGTGTCGCAGGCTCGAGGACGGGGACCCTTCGCCAACTCCCCTGGCCAGAAGCCTGGGAGGAGGGCAGAACTCCTGTGGGTTGGCTGCGAAACTCCACCCCACCCTGCCTGGGATCCGCGGACGGTCCGCACTCCTGCAGGTGCCAGCGTGGCCCTGGAGATGCGCAGGGAGGTGGGGTCCCTGAGTTCTGTGCGGCGCGTCCCAGCCCTGCTCAGCCCCGGGAGCGACAGCGTGGACTAGGGAGCTTAAGGTGGTTGCAGAAGCTTTAGGTCTGTCAGCCTAGGAAACTGTTGGACACAGCGTGTGTCTGGATGCAGCACCTCAGCTAAAGCCAGTTCTACGGTGTAATTGCAAAAATGCAGCAAGCTTTTCAAAATCTAAAGCCACTGCATCCCAGTAGACTGCAGGATGGGGACGGTCCTATTTAAAAGTGGGTTCCTCTTCACCTCCTCACATCAGACTCCAGACCCGCAGTTTTTCCTCGGAGGAAAATAAGATTATATAACTAGAAACCAGAGCTTTCAGTGTTTGGGTAGAATTAAGACAGGCATTCTTGCCAGTGTTTAATCTTCTTAAAAAACGAATCTAATTATATTTTTACTTTTAGAGCAGCCGGATATCTGGTATAGCTCCGTCTCCGTTTTCTATATTTTGGTCTACTTCCTGCCTTTCTCTTCATTTCTCTCCTTTCTCAACCCCCTCCTTAATTGATTATAATATAAATCTGAAGTGCCTTCAAATTTTATAGTGTATTATGTGAAATGGTCAACTACAGAAAAGTAGTTGACTTTAGGCATAATTCATCTTCATCGTATTCAGTCTTTGATTATTATAGGTGTATGAAAAACACTGAATGTTATCTACTTTAGAAATTATTTCTCTTTTGGCCTTGAGAGGCATCCCGTTTACCCTCTGCTTAAACTCATATCTAAATAACTTTGAAGTGGGAGATGGGGAAGATTGATGAGGTTTTCACTGATTGCATTTATCCATGTTTTATTGAACATATATCAATTATTAGTGGTACGACTTTAAGATTTGGTGATGTGACAGTTGTTAGCTTATTGCTACTGGAGAGACAAGCTGCTTACCATGCTGCCTTCTTTACTGGGTAGCTAAGGGAGATGCGCTTTGACTTTAAGACTAAGTTGAACGAGATCAATGACAAGGCTGTAGGAACAAAGTTGTGGGAATTCCCGTCTTTCATCTGAGCAGGGAACTCTCGGATAATTTTAAGAAAGGGTGATGTGATGGACCTCAAAGGATTCCTTCTGGGTTTTCGAGGCAGGGAAGGGTAGAGTATGGCCTGGGCTGTGGCAGCTGTGTGGGCAGGCAGGCATGGATTTACCATGAGAAGTGGTCAGTGGTCCAGCTTGGCTCTTATGTCGAGTGCTAGACAGTAAAGCTGGTGACAAGGCTGGGAAATGGTCCCAGCTGTCCAGTGCAGAAGTCTGCACTTGGTCTGAAGGCACAGCAGGGGCCTGACTGATGATTCTGTGAATTTCTCAAAGTCAAAGACCTTAGTCCTTGACCCACCCAATTCCTAGCCTGATACAGAGAAAATTCAGTCAATATTTGTGGTGTAAATGGTCTGACAACACTGTAGAGCAGAGCTTCTTAAACTTCAACAAGTTTCAGAATCTTGCGGAAACCTTGTTCAAATGCAAATTATGATTCAGTAGGTCAGCTGTGGGACCAGATATTTTTGGTTTCTAACAGATTCCCAGGAGCATGCTGATCATTTCCCTATGTATAGCAAGATTTAGATAAGAAGTTTGCAAACCTGGTTATTCTTCATGATCGCCTGGGGAGTTTTGTAAAATGTTCAGATTAAATAGTCAGGGATGTTTTTATCAGGTTTCCTTAGGTGATTCTGTTGACAAACCCAAAGGCAGTTGCTGCAATGGCAGAGTTCTGGCAGTGTTGTGGGAAGCAAAGTCCAAGGGAAAAAATCAGTGGGGGCGGTGAGGCTGGATGGGAAACTGGGAGGCTGATTCAGGGTAGAAGGGATGAGGCCTTATTCTGGGCCTGAGAGAGTGGTGAGGAGGGGATAGGTAGGGAAACTTCGGAGAGACAGAATCTGTAGGACAGAGGACCAGGGAATGGGAGGTGTCAGTCTCCAGACTGATAGATGGAATGAGAAGTGAGGGGAGAGAAACAATTCTGGGAAGATTCAGCTTTGGGCCTGAGGAATGGTATGGCCTTTAGACTGTAATGTTTAAAGTTTAGAAAAGTTTAGAAGTGGTTTTTGACATGGCCATCTTTTTTTTTTTTTTTTTCCTGAAATGCAAATCTGCTCATGATGCTATCATGTTTGAAATCCTCTGGTGGATCTCCTAATGCAAAATATAAGAAGGAAGTGCTAATATAAACGCAACTGACAAGGTATTTAAACATTTATTCCATTCCATAGCCTGTTCATCCCCATTCAAGATGTGACGCGCAGTCACCCCTTGATGTGGGCACAACTAGGCCGAAACTTTTGGCAGCTTTGTGTATTCCTGAGTCACTATGTTTTCTGCTTCCTTCTTCCTCAGAGGAGCTCCACTTCCCTTGGATTTTATGTTTCTTAGCATCATTCTTTGGTTCTAATGCTTGATGGCACCTATGTGTCTCTGTCTTCATGTACTCTATATGTAGTTCTAGGAAAGGTGGGCTTTATCTTTTATATACCCTTAAAGCCAAGTCTTGTTTGACTTTGTGGATCTTCACAAGCTTCATTCTTTTCTCTCACACATCTGGTAAATAATCTCCTAGGATAGGAGGACAATCTGTTTAGCTTTAGGCCCAGATCTCTTTAGCACCTTGAGTTCCAGGGGACTGCTGACTCTGAGCTTTGTCTTCAGCAAATGTATGATTTCTGTTCGCGTTAAGGTCCTTGGCTTGGTGATCCTTGGTAATTCTTACTTTCATTTCCTCTGTCTGTCATGTTCATGCATACACAGCATTCATTGTGCATGATGCTTTTAATCACCCTGCCCTACGTTGTATAGTAACCATGACTCCTAACACACTTGTAGGTAGGTGGGAGGCCTAGACACAGAAAGAATAGGGCTGTCTCTCTGATAGGATAAAATATACCATCCTTGTACGGTGTTCAAAGCTCTGCAGTGGTGGGCCCTACTTTAGCTATCCAGCTGCATCGCCACTGTTCCCCAAACTGAGAAGCGGAATAATTTCTATTCTTTTGTGCTTCTCTGCCTTTGCATACACTATTTCATCTTCCTGGAAAGACCTTTTGTCTCTGTTCTGCAAGATGGATAAACTGTTATTAATCCTCAGGATGTAGATCAAATTCTTGAAACCCCGTTGCCCCTAAGTCAT